GCTGTACAGTTCGAGCTGCATTCTTTCTTGACCAAGAGTAAAATCAAATTACTTGTCCATTTTGATCAGACAGCTTCTTTGTTAGTCTGAAGACGTGTCATAGCTTCTAGCTTCTGTCTGTAGGCCTCTGCTTCCTGCTCTTTCTTAAGTAGTTGCTGTCGGTATTTCTGAGCTTCTCGATTCGCTTCATCCAACTGTTTCTGAAGAGCTTCTCTCTCCTGATTTAAAAAAAAAAAAAGAAAAAGTCTGAATTTTTTTTCACAAATACATTACCACATACAAGCATGTGTCCCTCAGGTAAGACTGCAACAGCCCCGGGTGGCCACTTACTGACGGCAACGAGGCAGTCTGCCTTCCCAACCAATGCTCTAGTCACTGTGCCCCTAATTTTGTGCTCCGCAATAAGACACAGGTTACTTTCTAGTCTCAAGAAAATTGTTTCCTAATTGGAAGTGAGTCTTGAGGAATAAACCCAAAAGTGTGTACTTTTATATGTATGAACTATAAAGTCTTAAGAGTAAACTATGCAATCGTGTCTCCCACGTCCAGTTTCACCTGCAGGTCGGTTACACTTAGGGAGAACCCACTATGCAACTACACACGGTGATCTCCAACTACACATCTCAGGTACAATGCCACATGAAGGGTGGAAGACACAAGCACGGACGCAGCTGGACGCAGGAACAGCTGCGTTCATGGGACCTTACCACAACTACTTTTCTCTGCTACAGTAGCTAGGTTCATTAAGCTACGCCACACTGTTCAACAAAGCAATAAAACCTAATCTCGCTTCTTTGATGGGTCATAGTGGAGTTACACAGGTATAAAATGTCCATGCTGAATCCAGTAAGCTGAGTCCAATGAAAATGGTGGGTTTTTTCTTCTCTTCATTCAGGCCCTCGTGGGGGCTGGGGAGATGGCTCTGAAGAGTAAGTGCTTGCCTGGCAAGCTCAAGCGCCTGAGTTCAATCCCCAGTTATGAAAAAATAAATAAATAAATAAAAATCCAAACCTGACCATTCAGGCCCTCGTCAGTTACCTCTCACAAGACCCCCTCACAGACTTAACACAGGATGAAAGCTCAGCACAAGTTCCCGTCTTAAGCCACGACCTCTCAGCGAGGTGGGGCAGAACCCCAGACACAATGCAGGCCAGGTTCCCACCAGCCAGCAGGAAGTAGAGGTGTGCAGCCAGGCAGCTGTGAGGAGCGACAGCATGAGGGCCTCTCGCTACGCACCCACACCTGATGGGGACTCATCCATTCAGCCCCACGACTCCCCCTCCCCGTGACCCACCCCCATCACACTGAGGAGGAGGCTAGAGGCAACATTTCCCCACGGGCCCACCACACCTGGAGTGGCAGGTTACAGAAGGAGCCTGCAACTCTTCCAACTACACAAAATGTGCAAGCACAATAAAGGACGCCCTGCTCTTCAGGTCAGGAGTGTGCAGGCTCCGTGCCACTGTACCCCCACCTCCCCAACTCCAGGAAGAGGTCAGTGAGAGCCATCTCAGCTCTGAGCAGCCTGGGTGGGCTGGGTGAGGGCTTGGCCCTGCTTCCCACTCACACCCGGCACCAGCTCCGGTGTGCTCAGATCTGCACACACGCTCTGAGTGTACTGTACTGAGGCCTCTTGCTGGAATAAGACTAACAGTGTGCCCCAATTTGGTAGGCAATACTAGGCATCTTCTAGGATCAGAATTAGCAAGTGGTTCCCTATTATTGCAGTAGACTAAAGCAAACTGAGGGAAGGCTAAAAGCTAAAAAAAGTTGAACCCTAGTTTCCTTTTTGTCTATTTTTATCTTGAGAAATCAACACCCCCCAATACACACACACACACACACCCCGCACACCCCTCATACACTGGGTCAAAACCAGGGCCCAGGAGTGCTAAGACAGCAGCTGATCACTGAGCTACGACACAGCTCCAGCCCCGAGAAGCAGAAATACTTTAATGTAAATGGAATGATCACTGCCTTCTGGTTATTAGGCTGAATACTCACTTTACACTGTAATTCTTAGTAACTGTAAAATCTGACAGATAAGCCTCATTATCTACTGACTACATTAAGAGCATGACTAACACGGATGACTTTTACACTTTTCTTTTACTTCTGAATACAGGTATAAGGGAGAAGAATCTTTTTCCATCTGTCTTTAAAGCAAATAAAAAATTTCTGGAAAGTGGGAAACACCACTTCTTGTTTTACTCACAGAAATCCTTTGTTTCTGCTTGTCAAATGCCCACTGAACATAAAAGGCAGTTCCTTCATGCAAAAAGCAATTTAGCTACTTCAAACATTAGTAACACAAAAGCCTGAGATCTGACATCTCTGCTGAAACAGAAATGCCAGTTCTGAGGCGTTATTCTTTTGCAATAAAGTCACAACGAAAAGTTTTGACATTTTGAGGAAACACAGACTAGCCTACTCAGACATACTGTTAAATCATTTCCTTTGAAGGGTTTTGCTCAGAGGCAGGACACACCATTAGCACACGCCAAGTCCTTCAGTCCATCCGCAGTGTGAACACAGGTGCACATGCACAGGCATGCTCACACCCTGGCGCACGCGCGCGCGCGCACACACACACACACACACACACACAATTTTCTTGTCCACAGTACAATTTGAAGAATTCCCAGAAAAAGGCCTGCTAATGATCAAGGCTTGGTGGCAGGAGGATATTTACCTATGTCATACTGCCAAACCAATGTCACCATTACATTAGGTGGTGGGGGCCCTGGAAAAGGGAGCTTTTTTATCTCACTGAACTCACTTTATTTTAAACATGAGTCCCTTGTTGTGTTTTAGTTAATAGCAACGATCTCTAACAATTTTATCATTTTTAATATATAATTTTCTAACATCCACATATGTATTTTGCTTTGACTATGATCTATTCAAAGATCATTATTGTGATTTATCCTCTACCATATCGCAATGCTTGTTTTATTTTTAGAAGGAAAACACAGAAACAAAGCTTTTTAAATAAAGAGGGAGAGAGGGTGAAGAGAGGGGAGGAAAAAGGGAAAAATAATCCACACATATCATGTACAGGTATAAAGTCCTACTCTAAAATGCACTGATAAAAACAATTTAAACAAATTTATTTATTTATTGAGACAGGGTCTCACTACTGCTTCAGGCTGGCCTTGAACTCGGGCCAATCCTTGCTCAGCCTTGGGAGGATTACAGCATGTATCACCACGCCCAGCCTCACTGTAAATTTTACAATGATAGCAAATAACATTTACTGAACAGTTACTATGTGCCCATAACTGTATCAACCCTGGGTATGCATTCTTATTTCATATTTCCAACAATCTTATCTTATAGATGGCTACTTTTTCCACATTTGTTGATAAGGAAGCCAAGCCTTAAAAAGTTAAGTTGAATTAACATAATTAAAATTATAAAATTCAAACTTAAACTTGATTGCAGACCCTTATTTCTAGCCTCTCCTATTGCTTGTTTTTGAGAAAGGATCTTGTCATGTAGCCCACATTGGCTTACAACTATCCTGCCTGAGCCCCTTGAAGTGCTGGAGTTACTAGACCAGAGAGGAGCGGGGGCCACCTGTGTGAGATGTCGCCTTGTGTGCAGATCAACTTTCTCACAGCCCCGAGTCAAATGTGGCCAAGGTGGTCTCGCATTCATAAATGGAATTTCTCAAGCACAGTGCGCCCCCCTCCCCTGGGCCCCCCTTCTCCTTGGGAGTCCACACTGCTTTCCACCACAGCAGCAGAACCAAGCAGTGGCAACAGGGCCTCCATGTCCATTAAAAAAAAAAAAAGATAATTCTGGACAGAACAAGAACGACGTCCAGCCAGAGGCCCGCAGCACACACCTGCCAATCCCCACTTTGGAGGCTGCGGCTGAAAGACCCCAAGCTGAAGGGCAGTCTGGGCAGCTTACCAAGGCCCTGCCTTAAAATAAGAGAAATGAAATCAAAAAGGCTGGGGCTGTAGCTCAGCAGTAGGGTACTCCTGAGCTCAAACCTCAGGAATAGATTTTAAAAATGTTTTAGTAAAGTATTACTGCTTACCATTTATAGATATTTTTAAAAGAATACTATCTATCTCAACCCAGCCTCATTAATGGAGACAAATATCTCATAACCAGAGCTGGGGTCACTCAGGGGCAGGGCTCTCAGTGTCCAGCGTGCATGAGGCTGTATGTTTGATCCAATCCCAGAATTAAAAAAAAGAAAAAAGCCAATCTCCAAAGTAAAAAAGCAATTCACTAATACTTACATTCGTCTCTAATCTGAATAATAAAAAGTAAAGCTCCTTCCTAGATTCACACGGGAACAGACATTTGCTACTCCTGATGCGTTAATGGCATCTCCCTCCCACAGGTACAAGCCTGAGTTCAGGTGAGAACACTGCTGGCAGCAGGAGTGCAAAACTGCACACTTTCTCCAAAAGGCTCCTCAATACAGTGGAATCAAGAGGTAACATGCTGTCGCAGCTAGTCCTGCTACCTTTCTCTCTAAAAAATCCTACATCATTATAATACAAATGTAAACACAACATTTACATAAATTTTATAGACTTTAGTTTTCCCAGGGATTATCAGGGAAGCCTTTCCACTCTTAGTTGCAAAACAATATATACATTTGTATCTTCTTTGTAATCTCTCTGGCAGCGGTGGGAACAAATATAAAAAAAAAATGGATCCCTGCTGGACTTGGTACATGAAGTGACTCTTAAATTCCACTAGTTCCTCAATCTCAGTGTTGGTATAAATTCTAAATGCTGTCCTGAACATCACAGCATGTCCACTCTACCCACCAAAAATGCCAGTGGCTTGCCGCTAACCATAACAACCAAATGTGTCCCCAGACATTGCCAAATGTCACTTGGGACCAAATTGCCCCAGCTGAGAATCACCACTGTACACACACTTGCATTAGCAGCTGTTATCTCAGAAAGCAGGATGAAATCTAAGGTGTGACTGCAGGTAAGATCCACCACTGGTTCTCAGGCTTGCCACGACCCTTGAGGTTGCGTCTTCCTTCCCAGCTCCAGCCTAGCTTCACCACCTACACTGTGTGGTCACAATCCAAAACTGCCTCAAGAGGTTCTCCAACCGCGTCCTGAATATCTCCAGTGGTAGAATTAAGAGATTTCCACCACTGGAAAGCGCTATAAAAACCAGAACAAAAAGAAAGCTGGGCATGGTGGTGGACACCTGCAGCCCCAGCACTCAGGAGGCTGAGACAGGACGAGCACTGTGAGTTTGAGACCAGCTTGGGCTACATAAGCGAGTTCAAGGTCAGCCTACAGTACGTAAGTTCCTGTCTCAAAAAGAAAACAACAAAAAAAACCCTATTCTTTATTCCAAGCTAGAATTCCACGTCCCTAAAATTCAGTCTCCTTGGTCTTAGCTGATTAACACACCAATTCCCACTTTCTTGTTATCACAATTATTTTCCCTACAAGAGAATCAGGCAGAACTGGGAGATGGGCCCATTCACTAGTCCCTGGAGAAGAAAGGCACTGG